CTTTCTGACAAATGTCAAACTGCTGAGCCGCCTTTCCAGCTTGCCTGCCCGCAAGTTCTGAATGCAACTAGGTATGACCATGAGTGTTCAACAGTTGACCCACTCCACAATTGCAGCGCTCCGCCGCATGCGAAAGTTGCAAAAACGTGGATTTCAGTTAAGTTGCACAGCCGTCCAGCAGTCCTGCAGATCATCCTCTACGTAGCGACCAGCAAACACAGCTGAGTTCTTCGGATACTTGGCGGCCAAGGCGGTTGCGTTGGCTGTGAGTTCCGAGCGTGCCTGCAAATGATTGCCCCGTTTCACCGGAACTCGCATCCGTATTCCGTTTTCCTACAGGCTTCAGAACACGACCCCAGGAAGCACACGGATTGCGACATGATTGGTGCGTGCATTCGCCTGATTTTTTTCAGGTTAGCATCCGCATCATCCATCTTTGGCTTTGGCATGCCTGACTACGGAGCGTGTTCTACTCTTCAAAAACAGGCAGAGTTGCCTCCATGTGCGGCGACCAATTCACCAAATAAGAGCAGGCTGCCGAATCCCAGTACAAGTGCAAGTTGGGAGCCCCACAAGGAGTTTGCAACGGGATCCTGGAGCTAGGCAACATCGTGGCTTGCGGGGCCATTTGTCGTGGGCTAAATACCTAGGAGTATGGGACTTGTAGAAGGACTACTATCTAAGCACAACATGTTGAAAAAGGGCTAGAAGAGAAGCTTGTTGCCGCCGACATCGCCAGCAGGCAGGTGGCCAAGCTGAGCATTGTCGAAGTAGCCGTTGGCAGTGTGCAGCGGTTGATGGATATCCCCCACAACGTGGAGCATCCAGCGCAGGAAGAAGTTATGAGTGAAGCGGGAGTTGGTGCTACCTTGCACTTGTGAACCAGAATCGCAGAGGAACATCAGCCAATATCAGCCAAACAATCAAAAGGACAGCAAAGCAAGCCAAGCCACTCATAGAGATGAAGCCGGATGTCATCGTGTACAGAGCTGATGGGTTGCCCTGCCACTTGTCGCTGCAATCTGGCAGAACCAAGCCTTGAGGATTGTAAGGCTTCTCCTTGGGCGCATGGCAAGCTTCAAAATTATTCGAATTATAAATCCTAATTCTCAGCGCACCTTATTGTCACCATGTCACTGGCATTGAGGAGTCAAACGTTGCAAGGAATGGCAACATTACGAGAATGTGACGTCAATACAATGCTGACTTCTGTTCCTCGGCGGCTCGGAGCCGCCCAGAAAAACCAAGCGTCATTGTAGTGCCAAGGGTCGAAGATGTGGATGTTATCCATCACCTCCTGGACAAAATCGGTAACACAAGCCACACTTCTACGCTAGCACCGTGATAGCTTCCCTTAGAGCTTCAACTCAATGTTGGGACCGGCGCACCCTGGGACAAATTTTGCTGTGGCTTGCGCACTTGAGCATGTCTGGCCAAACCGCAGCTGTCACCAGGTCAGATGCACCAGGGTAGTCAGCTGACATATCCTGCCAGCACAGCTTGCTTTGAAGTCTGGTTAGGATTGGTGGGTGCCTGAATGCTCAGACTGCGCTTGAACAGCATGAAGGACAGATCGAAGAGCAACTCACACGAAGAAATCGTAGAGTGTCCTAATTTCAGTTAGATGGTTTAAATCTACGGGGTCCATTGCATGTCTATTCACGCAATCACCTTCTCATGAGGCGAGGAGATCCCTAATCCCAGGACTTTGTAGAGTGTCTCTGTCATTTGTGCTCAGAAAACAATAACAGAGAAAAGCAGAAATTCAGGAAGCCCGGAATTCGATCTAGATTGCCTTCCTAGTTTTCCATTTGCATCTCTTGGCACGAAGCCTTGAGAAGCATTGAAACAAGTAGGACAACCAAGAAACCTTAACTCTCCAAGTAAGAAAACACTTTCTTTTACTGCTTTTCCATGATTTCCTTTTTCCCATCAGGAAGCTCTGGAAGTTCATTCTTTTGGAAAACTATGAGGCCCTAATCAGTTGTGATTCCGCCTAACCTCGCCCCCTGCCTTGTAAGGAATATTTTGTGGCCGAAGATGGTTTAAGAATGCATGCGGTATGTAAATTGCAGGATGTATGCAGAAGCCTATTCTCCTTTGTTGAGGCAACCACTGTTTGCGGAGGAAATAAACAGGATCCTCAAATCCAGATCTTTGAAGGCTTTCTATCATCTGTGCTCGAAATAGCTGGGAGTTACAGTCCAGGGCACGAAGCCTTGACAAGCCTGGGAGGAGTAGAACCACCAGGACCACTAACTCTCTCTCGCATTCCATTTCTTGCTCTCTTGTCAGATTCTGCGATTTCCAACTTCCAATTCAGAAAAAACTCTTGAAATCCATTTCCTTGAAAACTAGGAAGCTGCAATGAATTTGATTCCGCATGATGACACCTCCCGTACAACACCCCCTAATTCAGAGTTCATATCCGCCTACTCAATCACTGTTAGATGGTCTTGCCCCTCTAACCGCAGTTCCAGAATTCTCTTCTCGCATACATATTTCTCCAGAAACCAAACGCTAATGGTATGACAAACTTGACAACATGCCGCAACAAATGCAGCAAATTCACCGCGGGGGCTGGGTTGGGGGGGCTCCTCGCCATATTCCGAGATGGCAGGGAATGGAGGTCGCTTGATATATCAAGCATTTCAGGTGCCCCCCCCCCCCCTCGCGGCCCCAGCCTCTTTGACATTTCCGACCAGATGGTCCAAAAAGTCCGTTGGCCCAGTAGCTTGTATACAGGGCTAATTTCGTGATTACACTCTGACCCTAGTGCCCTAAGATGCAAACTGTCTTAACAGAATTCCTTCTGCAAGTCACAAATGTCACAATAACCCACCCTCTTGCAGCGTCTCTTGCTAAGTGGGTAGTAAATTCCTAGAAAGCATCTACGACTCCAGCCCAAAAGAGTCACAGCTTTGATTTCGGAAGCTTGGCTAGCCCTATGAATTGCAAACTTGCCTGCAATACGTCGTTGATCCTGTCCACCTGCTCTGTCGTTAGCTGCTGTCTCGCGACTTCAGCCTCAGCATGTAAAACTTGTGCCGGCTCCTCGCCACTATGCATCAGCCCTAGAATGCAAAAAGTCTGCATTGCAGTCTCATGTCAGTCTTACACATGATGCCGAAACACGACTTGTGATTAGACGGTCTTTCGGTCTTTCAGGAGCTTATTTGACTTCACAGAGCTACCAGTTGTCCGGAACTCTCCAGCTTGCAAACCACGAACCCCCTACCCTCTTGTAAAGGTAAGGTTGGCCTCCTAGATCATAATCCTTGGCCCAGTGTCAACAAGCATGTGTCCATTGTCCCACCACCCTTTTGCCACAGCCGGCAGTAAAGCAAGAAGCAACATGGTCACGGCGCGCAAAGGGTGGCCGAAAGCTGTCCCAGGACGTGACCAAATACGTTTCAGACATATGCTAGCTGATATCTTCCGTCTCGTGTCTGCATACCTATGCTGACATGGTTCTGGCATCTGCAACCTGTCAGAAAACTCAAAGCCAAATGCTCCAGGCACTCCAAACTCTGGCGAACAAATGGTGACCATCGTAGATCTCACCCTGCTGGCGCTGCAACATGCTGAGTCTGTTAGCGCGAATGCTCTCATTGTATCACAATAAGCGCATATGTATCTGCAGCTGGGAAGCAATCGCGCCACAAGCTCAGTGCACTTCAAAAATTGGGTGCCATGTCAGGGGTGGTGTGGCACAGCTCGCATTTTCTCTTCAAGCTGGTGGAACGAGTCAGGGGTTGGAAATGACCTCAAACCGATCTTGGCGCCACATCTTCGGCAGCTTCAGATGCCCTGCTATGCTCAAGACACTCTCACGACGCAAGGTGTGGCTTTCCAAGCTTGGCAGCGGTCATGAAAATCTAGCTGGAAAACTCCCACACCACTACCTGTGCATCGTCACCCGCCTTGGCCAGAAACACTTCATGCTATCACATGCCATCGCAGTCTCCATGTACATCTGAGCTGGCGGTGAAACTTGGGCCCCGACGGTTGCCAGAAACACTTGGCCGGGAGACCTAGCGTGCTCACAACTTCCTGCTCGCTTTCTGGTTGCTGCATTTCTGAAGTAGTCGTGTTGGCTTGACACGGGCCTTTTTCCAACTGGCTTGAAACATCTTGCAATCAAAGCTGGCTCGGCTTCCAGCCTGCCCAACCACGGGATCTGCCTGCATCCGCATAGTCCTTCTGGGCCCAGCTGTGGTTGTTGGACCATTCACGGTCTCGCCAGGTGGAGCTGGTGCTCCAGGTGCCATGGCTGTCATAGTCCCAGCTAGCGTAAGCAGGACCTTGGTAGTCCCGCCAAGCGTTCTCGGCTGCGGGCTCCTTCTCAACCGGCACACAGAATCGTCCGGAGCGGGTCTGGGTGAAGACCCAGCCCTCGCTGTCTGACAGCTTTAAGAAGACCGTGCCGTCACGGCCCGGTCTTTCTTCGCAGACTCCAAACTCCTCGCCCCATTTCAGATAACTTGTTATTCCGGTGCGCTGTACCTGAGGCTGGGAGCGCACATCCATCCCACCTCGCCAAACGCACCTCCAGCGGGACAGCTCGGGGCTGTCACGGCTCGCGGGGATGCTGGCGGGAACCTCCTGCACCTGTGGTGCATCTGGCTTTACCTCTGAAGTGCTTTCTTTCTTGAGGGAGGCATAGATCTGCCTCAAAAGAAGACTTGCGATTTCTGAAGGGTCCTCCTCGTCCTTAGGGCCTAATCCGGAAAGTCCGGAAACTTGCACT